TCACAGCCTGCAAAATGAAAATCCCGTGAAGTTCCCCACACACACACAGAGAGTAACAAAATCAACCTCAAAAAAGGGGAAAAAAAAAACCCAATTGTGAAACAACAAAGTACATACGAAATATTGATTATCAAGAAACAAAACAAAGCAAAACAAAAGTGTGCTCAATTGCCTTGAAAATAAAGGAACAACCCCACCATTGTATAATACTATACCCCCATTCGTTCGCCACCAAACAACGCTAATAATTGCGTGATTAGAAAATTCCAAATAAAATAAAACAAATGGGCTCGAGAAAAATCCACAGACCCAGAAAAATAAAAATAAAAATTAGATCTTGACTTACCGAAAGGGTATAATATCTTGCCACTCGCCGCCCCTATTCTCGAAATACAGAAAAATGAGAACCCAAAAACACAGCTCCCAGAAAAAATAAACCCATATTTGAAGCCATGATCGTTTTATATAGAATTAAAATTGACTGCTACAAATCCGAATGCTTACATGACTCTTTTTTTATCATCATCCCCCCACAAAATTTGTGTATGTACAATTGTATATATTGTACGGAGAGAGGTGGGTCCGGTTAAGGTGGGAGCGTGATGACGTGGATCACTTTTGGAAAAGTCAAAAGTGTAGAGAGAGAGAGAGAGAGAGAGAGAGAGAGAGATAAAGTCGTGGTAGAAAAGTAGAAGATACAAAAGTCGCTATTGAGAAGGATTGTACTGTTTGGTACGGGACATAAAGGTAAAAAAAAAGTACAAGTGAGGGTATTATGTGGATTTCACTCTTTCTTTTTTTATTTTTTTCTTATCCTAGTGTAGTAAAAAAATTATACCAATTTGAAGCACATCAAATTTAATAAATTAATTTATCAAAAAGATAAAAAAAAATGTACACTAATTAAAAAGGGAAGACTAAAATTCACTGGTTCCTACACGATTTGATTCCTATATTGTCCAACGTTCATTTTTAATATGTGACAAAATATTTTATTTTTATTTTATTTTATTTTTTATTTATTTATTTTTTTTTTTTTACAATGAAAGAGGCTAAAGACCTAGAAGGAGACACTACACGACTATACTACGCGGATGAGCAACACCCGCATGTTCCAACCAAATTTTAACCTCATTTGGTGGATCGTGTAAAATTTAAATATCCTAGCAAACCCAATGCTGCTTGTGCGGCTAGATAATCGGCTGCAACATTGGCTTCCCTATAGTTGTGACGAGTCACCACCTCGCAAATGCGCCTCAAAAGGTCATTGATAGCCATAATCAGACCCCTATGCATTCTTGTAGGTTCTTCCTTGTTCAAAACCATTTGATCAATACTAGAGTTATCAACCTCAGCCAATATTTTGTGACCCCCAGCTCCCACCCAAGTTGTAACCCGTGGTTAGGTGACAAAATAATTGATTCTTTTCATCGAGAGTTTGAATTCACAAATTTTCATTAGATTCATTATTCACTCAATTTTTTTTATTCAAAATAGTTTGAATTTTAAAGTTTGGTATTCTCTATATGAGTATCAAGTTCCTTGAGAAATTCATTTTAATTGGATGACCATTGTTGGAATCTTCTCATCTTTACAATTATACCCACAAAGGTTCAGTCAAAAAAATGATTTTTACGTTGTTATATATGGTCTAATGTTGGCACCGTTGGGCATCCGAAAGATAACAAAGTATTTTATTATCAACTGTTTTTATCAATTTTTGTGAATAAAAGAGAAAAATGTGAACTGTTTTTCAGTTTTTTTAAGAATAGAGAAAAAATGTATATTAATTAAGTAATAAAAATACCACACCTGTTACCCGTATGAAGAATTAGTATTTGTATGACTTTTGCAAACACGATTGGTTAATGCATAATTAGAGTTGTAGATTGCAAACGCGCTGAGCCGAATTGAGTCGAGCATTGACCTTATCGAGCAAGATTGAATTTCTTTTAGCTGCTCGAGCTCGACTCTAGCTCGATTTATGAGGCTCGAGCTCGTCGAGCTCGATTTATGAGGCTCGATCTCGACTCGATAAGAAAAGGCATTAGCTCGAACTCGACTCGAAAATTTTAAGTGAAATTATCATTAAGCACATATGTTATACTATTTAAATATATATAAGAGGTATTTAGTAATTTAATTATATATGTCGAGCCGCTCGACAATGTAAAATATGGCCTCGAGCTCGACTCGAGTTCGTGCTCGAGCCGCTCGAGCTCGAGCTTTAACTCAAGTGCTCGCGAGCGGCTCGTGAACCGCTCGACTTGTTTGCATCCCTAACCTATACCCGGAAAAAAAAGTATAAGTAGATAAATACATTCAGTGTTGTTAAGTCAAAAAGAGCCGCCCACTCTTTCTGAAAGCAACAAAAAGAATAAAAATTTTGCAGCTTTTCTTTGACTAGCATCCAAAGAAGAAAAAGAAATTGGATACAGC